TGTTGTGTTGTGAGCGGGATTTGAACCCCGTTCCCCCGAGCACAAAATAATATCAGGACCTAGCACCTTGGCCTCTGAGCCATGCCCACATTTTTTTTTTCGTGGCAGAATGCTTTTCTGAGTTAGAGAAAATACAATACAAAATTTTGTAGCAAAATTTGATATGAGATCATAACAATCTTGTATGAAAAATACCTTATTAATATGTTCGAAAATACCAATTTGGTATGTTCGAAAATATCATTTTGGTATGGCCTCATATTGGCCGAAATTGATATGAAAAAATACCCGAATGATGACCAGTTTTGGTATTTTTTTTCTCTGTGTAGGATATGACTCTTTTTAAATATTTCCGAATTTCAATTTTAATTTGATCAAAATCGGACGACTATATCATATAGCTGCCATAGGAACGATCGGAAAATTAATGAGATTAATGAAATTAATTGAACATGTTTGCGATTTGTTAATTAATAGGAATGATCTGCAAGGGTATTTAAGCTTCGGCTGGCCGAAGCTAGCTTCCTTTCTTGTTTTTCTTAAAAAAACAATTTTTTTTTTTTAAATTTTCTACAACAAAAAAATTTCATTAAAAAATTCACCTTATGATGTTTTTTTTACATATTTAATTGCCTTTAAGAATGCCCCATCAAAAGATATTTGCTATAGGGCTCCGCTGATTTAAGGCAGACTTTTGGCTTTTTCGCCCCACTGTGCGTCCCTTTATATAGCTGCCAAACAAATTGATGGATTTTCTTATTGTTAAGAAGGTAGCCTTTAAAAAATTAAAATTATAATCTGAAACAAAAAATTTTTTCAAAGCCTACCTTCTTAACAATAAGAAAATCCATCAATTTGTATGGCAGCTATATAAGGGAAATTTAAGTTTGAGTTCTTAACTTCAAAAACTCATAGCGCCCCCAAATGGACACCAAAAAATTTAAAAAAAATCACAGATGATAACCAAGCCAAACTCTACAAAGTACCCGAGTTTTGTTACAACCTGAACATTCGGCTTTTCACCTTTACAGTGTGTCCCGAACCACCACACTTAAAACATTTCGTTTCTTCCTTACACTCAGGACGTATATAGTCAACCGAACCGCATTTGTAGCAATACCTCTGCTTTGGTTTCTCATTAAAATTGTCACTTCGATAGTTTCGTACGCGTTTGTCTACACTCATTGTTTTATTACGATCACTCGAATGCGTTCGCTTCAACAGCTTCCCGATTTGTTCCTATCGCGTACGTAAGTCTTTAATGTTTTGAACACTGATCAAGGGGAATTTTAGATCATCCCTGATGTTAAATCCGCTGACTATATAACCGATAATTGATTCGTCGTCCACTTCACCGAGTGCTGCTATTTTACGCATTTGAAGGACGTAATCGTAAAAGTTCTCTGAGGACTGCTTCTTTCTGTCACGGAGTAGAGTATGCACCTCAGCACTGCTTAATTTTTTGTCGAATTCTGATAGCAAAGCATCGCACAGATCTTTATAATTAGACACAACGATCGTTTCTAGGTACAACTTCGCAGTACCTCTCATTTTATTTCGCGCATTCACATATTTTTGTTTTGCATTTAAGTCAAATGCCTCAGCATTTTCTTCGAAATTATTTAGCCACTGTTGTATTTGCATCGAAATACCATCGTAATCCGGAACAATGTTCGCGAAACTTTCAATCGACACAGATGAGTTACTTGGAACTGGGTTATGAAGAGCTTGTTGTGTTAATATGCGAATACGATCGCCAATTTCACTCTCTTGTGTATGAGTGTGATTCTGCACGTGTGTGTATAGCATTTCCTTGAAATTGAATGAAGTCTGGGTTTATTTCATCACCTTCGTCTAAAGTGTCTAACTTGTCCGAATTTTCGTTAGTTTTTACGAATGTCTGATTTGCAATACACTGCTTGATTTCTGCATCTTTATCCATTTCTGCAGGTGCAACTTTGTTTTTCGGCCAGTTCTTTTCGTTTGTTCTCTCTGAGGACCTCCAAGTAGAGCTGAGCTCCGTTTTGATCCACACCCTCATAAATTGTTGTCTCCGCGTTCTCTTCAGTACCAGCCTGCGTCATTTAGAAAACCTAGGATTGCAGTTATCCTTTGCTTTCCTGTGTGTCTGATACGGCTGCGTATTTTTCCACTTAACTTTTTTAGAAATAATACACTTAAACCTTTTGTATTGGTTTGTCAACTTTAGTTTGGATTAATTTTTTACACTCTCTGAATTCTTAGAATCAGTTTTTCGTTCAGCAGTTGAGCTCCCATGTAAGATTGATAGGTGTTTATTGGTAACTTTTGATTAAGTATATGGGCGGTTCTTTTAGAAACCGAACGGATTTGGCCAAAAATATTTTTTCACATTTTTGATTTGCCTGAAACTATTTCTACGTGTACCATTCGGAAAATTAGTAAACACGTTTATCAGGATTTGGCCGAACAATTTTTTTTTGTTTTTTAGAATTTTTTTAGTGTGCCAAAAAACGTGAATTTTGAAAAAGTACCCTCTCATTGAAAATCTTAATCTCCGGTTGTAGTAATCCGATTGACTTCGTGCCTTTTGCATTAATTCCTCTAAAACCTCTTCTTTTTAAACCTCTTCTTCTCAAAAATAAAAACAAATTAAGATTTACAAAAATTTTTTAACGGGTTCCCCACAAAAAAAAATATTTTTTTTTTATTTGAACATATTCGTCATATTGTTAGTTTCAATCGGTTTTTGCCAAAAAGGTGGAGCCATGTTTAGTTTTTAAAATATTGAATTTTTTAACAAGGCCTCTGCTTTTTCTATGAATAAACGTCGCAGCAAGTAGGGATACTCTCTCACTCTTATCGGATCCTTATGGAATTCATGTTTTCTCATCGTTTACTAGTCCTTTAACAATTGTTAATGATTTAAATTAAAGTTTTAAGTCTTTTGACAATTGCTGAATGACAAAAAGTAAAAAAGTCATTTTTTAATCTTTTAAAAACTTACAATTATTTATTAAACCGTCCATTTAATAAACAATACTTTTAAAATTTTGTTATTTATTATTTTTTGAGTTAAATTCCGACACTTTTGCGACTTTACTACTTATCAACTCGATCAGCTTCTCTCGCAACTCTCTCGCAACTGCTTCAGAGTGGTAACTCACCCCCGGTTTTGCACACCCAAATAAAAATGAACATAGAAACTAAACTATTTCTACATTAAAAGTAAACTATTGAGTGTCAAAAATTTCTCGATACTCTGAGTATTAAGCTAATGGACTTCGAAAGTTTAAAAATGAAACTTTCGAAGTTGTCAAGTTTAAACTAACGAGTATACAGTTTATACTCACTCAGTGTACTGAAATTTAGGCTGCTAGTTTATTTTGTATACTATTTAGTATAATGCCAGTATATATATATATCAAATAAAAACACCTCTTAACGAGGTAAAAAACTAGTGACGACCGCACCTTCAACATACAAAAGTTCTGATATCAACATTTGTGACGAAAAATTATTACACTCGTCATTAAATAGACTTTCTAATCTTTTCTCATTCGGCCCGCCCTAGCAAACTATTCCAGCCTTTTTCCCTTCACAGGCATTTTCTATTGCAGCGTGACAAGTCTGTAGCTTTAGTAGTATAGAAGTTACGGCTTTCCGAATTCTAGCTATTTATAGCTGTTTTCCCGCTAAACTAGCGGGTTTTTCCAAAAGTGGTAGAACAAAAGTTTTTTATATCGATGTGATGAACGTCATATCAAATTTTCAAAACTTAGAAAACATGTTTTGGACAAACTGACAAACTGACAAACTGACAAACTGACAAACAGAATTAAATTTTCATTTTGGGAAGACGAAGAAAATCTTATTTTGGCTATAACTTTTGAACGGAGCGTCGGATTTTGACAAATGACCCCTCATTCGACGGGTATTTTTAAAAGGAATACAACTAAAACATTGAGAGGGGGCAATTATCCCCACCGGCCCCAACAGCTCCAAATTTCGAAATATTCACTTTTTTACTTTCACCGCTCTTTCTCCCAAGCCAATTGATTTTCTTAAAGTCTTGGTATGCAATCCTTTAAGTTTTTGCAATACCTTTCGATAGGTGTATCATTCATTATGATCGGACCATCACAGTAGATTTTCATTTCTTCGTGTATATATAGTAGTCGCCTTCGCACACCCTCCTGGTGCGCTTCGTCACTACATGGACTGCCGTCCATAGTGATGATCGGACCATCACAGTAGATTTTCATTTCTTCGTGTATATATAGTAGTCGCCTTCGCACACTCTCCTGGTGCGCTTCGTCACTACATGGACTGCCGTCCATAGTGATAGTAGTATATAGTATAGTTAATAGTATAGAAGTTACGGCTTTCCGAATTTTAGCTATTTATAGCTGTTTTCCCGCTAAACTAGCCGGTTTTTCCAAAAGTGGTAGAACAAAAGTTTTTTATATCGATGTGATGAACGTCATATCAAATTTTTAGAACTTAAAAAACATATTTTGGACAAGTGGACAAGTGGACAAGCGCACAAGTGGACAAGTGGACAAACTGACAAACAGAATTAAATTTTCATTTTGGGAAGAAGAAGAAAATCTTATTTTGGCTATAACTTTTGAACGGAGAGTCGGATTTTGACAAATGACCCCTCATTCGACGGGTATTTTCAAAAGGAATACAACTAAAACATTGCAAGGGGGCATTTATCCCCACCGGCCCCAACAGCTTTCGAAATTTTCACTTTTTCACTTTCACCGCTCTCTCTCCCAAGCCAATTGATTTTCTTAAAGTCTTGGTATGCAATCCTGTTAGTTTTCGCAATACCTTTCGATAGGTGTATTATTCATTATGATCGGACCATCACAGTAGATTTTCATTTCTTCGTGTATATATAGTAGTCGCCTTCGCACACTCTCCTGGTGCGCTTCGTCACTGGACTGCCGTCCATAGTGATACGAAATCATCGTCTTGAATTTTCCGTCACCAAAAATCTTCAGAACAGAGCCTACATACACCTTTCAAATTATTTGAGTATTTGCACTACCTTCCTTGTGTACATATTCTAATTTGTTAATTTCGATAGTCCCGCTAGGATGCAGAACTCCGGACGCGGTGCGGACCACTTTAACTTCATCACGCGGACGGACCGTAAAAGTCTACACACGCAGATCGGCCTCTTGGTGACCAAGGCGAAGCAGGTGGCCGCCGCGGAGCTCCAGGAACGCAGCCAGAGGCTGAAAAAAATGCTGGATGAGGAGGACGAGCGCTACGAGGAGGAGTTCTCAAACACGGTGAAGACCCGGATCGACCAAGACATTAAAGAGCGGAAGGAGCACCTGCACGCCATCAAGGAGCAAGTGGCCAAGCAGCAGAAGAAGTTCCTCGAGGAGAAGCACATCCAGCAGGTCATGCTCGACTGCTACGAAATTCGGGAGGCTCTGCGGCAACAGGATCTCGTGGAGACAAAGATTGTACAGGGGGAGCAAATTCTGGAGAACCAGCGGAAGAAGCGGCGTGAGTGCCAGCAGGATCAATATTGGCTGGAGCTAAATCGCCGCAGATGGGCCCAGTTCGACTGTAACCAGGCGGAGGAGAATCTGAGACGGCATCAGATGCAGGAGCAGGTGAACCATGTCTTGGCTATCCAGGTAGCTGAGCGCGAGGAAAAACGAAAGGAGCTGGAGGCAGAGAGGGACGAGGAGGAGCGGGTCCTGAACGCCCTGCTGGAGGAGATCCGTCTGGAGGAGTTTGAAAAGGAACACCAACCCGCTCCAGTGAATCAGCTGGCCTACCAGGCCGAGCTGCTCAAGGAGATCGAGCGGAAGAGATGCGCCCGGTTGGCGGAGTGGGAGGCGGACAAGGCCGACCACCTGGACTTCTGCCGGGAAACCGAACGTCTGGAAGTGGAAGCTCGTGCTAGGATTGCTCAGTCAAAGAAGGATCTCAACCGAGCTACTTTGGAATACCTGGCCTACCTCCGTCGCATGCAATCGCTTGAACTGGGAATCGAGAAGATGATGGAAGAGCGCACCGCTGATCTCTACCAGCTGGACATGTGCACCAAGCTCAACATCACCGAAAGGGTTCGGGTGAAACGGGAGGCTGCGGAGAAATGCTACGAGAGTCTCCGGAAGCAGGTCTGCGAGGATTACGAACGCAGAATCCGCTCTGATGCTGAACTTCGGGAGAACAAAATGATGGAGAACCGATTTGTTCATCCGGAGGTCACTCATCAAATGATTGTGTGCCGTCAGATCCGATATAAGGCGGATTTGGATGCACAAATCACAGAGATGAAGCGTATCCAGGCGGAGGAAGCGAAACGGTTCGACAGTCGGCTGATGTCCGCTGTTGATAATCCAATTGCTTGCAAGAGATTAGCTAAGGAGATTCTGGAAAGTGGTGTTGATTACCTGGCTCCACATCCCAACTGGCGGGTTATGGCCTGTGATCCCAATAGGTACATACTTAGGCCTCCGACCACGGAGCAAGAATTCAATGCCAGAGTTGCCGGTGCCTGCGTGGACAAGTGTCCTTGTCCCAGAGAAGCGCGAAAGCACTGCAGCTTCATGGCTGAATTAAATAGACCAGATGTGCCTCCTGAGGGGGCCAGGACCCATGTGGAGCAGGCTGCGATCGAGCTGGCCGATAAACCCCAAAAATCTGATTTCCGAAAGTGCCGATGCACATTCTATTAGAGCTTTTACGATGAAGTATTTGAAAAACTATTTAAAATTTTGTTGAAAGTTAAAATCTTGAGGCTATTAAAAGCAAATAGTTTAGCCACTCCTATCTCGTTTAAGTAAAAGCAACGATTATTTCTAGATCCTATTTTAGTTTCGGTTAGCCGCTCTTATTATATACAGTCTACAAATATCTCCTTGTGTTTAACGATTGGTAAAATATACTAGTATAATGGTCCGATTTGAAAAATGTCTTCTACATTTCGATAGGTATAAATATACAAAACAAAATTTAATTTATATTTTTCGGAAATCTATAAAGCTGTGTGCGCCAGACACGTTTTAAAATCGTTAGGCTCAGATGACACATTCAATTTTTAACATCAATTTATGTAGCAATTTTTCATTCATGCACACAAAAAAAAAACTTGGTAAAATCAACTGTAATAATTGTCAAACAGGCCCCAACCAGCAAAATTGTCAATTTTATTAAGTAAATAGTCATTTCACAACAACAAAATACACACAATTAGCAAAGACACAAACCCAAAGCAAAAACAAAATATACGTAACTATTTTAATAGTTACGTAACTATCTTTGTTGGTCAATTTTACCAAGCAAATTTTTTTGTGTGTGGGACTTTAAGCGAGCGCTAGAAAGAATCAAACATTTTTGACTGCTTTACCACTAACACCAATAACACTAGTTTACAAAATAAAATCGACCTCACCCTAATCGAAGGCAGCCTTAGTTTTCCGGTAAAGTAGATCTCCCTGATTAAGAAATGGGCACTTATAATTTTTTGTATGGTGTCAATTTTTTTTTAAGTGTAAAAAACGTTTTTGGCCCTTTTTTATTTTTTATCTCGAGTTCTGGTAAACCGACTGAGGTCATCGATGACTCATTTTACAGGTAATATACTGTTCTTTAACTTTCTTATACACAGCATTGAGTTTCAGTCATTAGTTTAGAAGCCACACCTCGTCAAAGTTAAAAAATTTGAAAAAAATGCAAAAGTTTTGGCATAAATGGCTTCGTTAAAAATACACGCAAAAAAACCGAAATTAGTTTTATAACTTATTCTGGTAGATGGTACTTTGACAAAAAAAACAAGCTAATGATCATTAGAAAAAAATCATTAATCATTAAAAAATCATTAAAAAATCGATATAAAATTCATTTTCTGGTGGATTCTAATGATCATTAGCTTGTTTTTTTTGTCAAAGTACCATCTACCAGAATAAGTTATAAAACTAATTTCGGTTTTTTTGCGTGTATTTTTAACGAAGACATTTATGCCAAAACTTTTGCATTTTTTTCAAATTTTTTAACTCAGTCGGTTTACCAGAACTCGAGATAAAAAATAAAAAAGGGCCAAAAACGTTTTTTACACTTAAAAAAAAATTGACACCATACAAAAAATTATAAGTGCCCATTTCTTAATCAGGGAGATGTACTTTACCGGAAAATTAAGGTTGCCTTCGATTAGGGTGAGGTCGATTTTATTTTGTAAACTATTGTAATAAGGCGTGATATCATATTAATCCTGACTCGTTTGCACTTCTTTAAACTCACACAAATGAAAAATTGTCACAATATATTGACGCTAAAAATTAAATGTGTCATCTGAGCCTGAGTGGGCATTTGTGGGCGTTAGAGGAGGCGTGGCGCTTGGCTGCGTAGGAAGCCCAAGAATATGTCTGGGAAATCTCAACCTTCTAGCTTTTGTAGTTTCCGAGATCTCAGCGTTCATACGGACGGACAGACGGACGGACAGACGGACATGGCTAGATCGAGTAACGGATATAAAAACTAAACATTCAAATCAATTGATTCTCTCACCCTTTCTTACACGTGCCTCATATTGTTTAAATAAATGGAAATGTTTAAACAATTTGATTTACGGCATCCCCTTTCACCTGCCTTCCTTATCTTCTATTATTAATATAGTTTTAATCAAGGTGAAAAATTAATGGAAACAAAAATACTGAAGCAAAATATGGTAAATGTTAAAATGGTAGAATGCAGTAATATGCAGTAATTGCTTTTCTTAATGCTTTTTTTAAATTAGTCAAATACATAAATCAAAACATTGCTTCGCATAAATATTGGTTTCCCTTATAAGAGTTGTCTACTGTGGATACCTTCCAAAAGCCCCCAAGAGTAATTGGTTTCTAATTCGCCAAGAGTATTTGGTTTTTATTTACCTTTTCGTTACCTATAAATAATAGACTCTCTAATTTCATAAATCTTTACCAAAAATATCTTATTGGTTGTTCGAGAGCTATCTTTTCGAGAGAGATCTATCCTTTAGCATTTTTTTGTTCTACTTTTTTTTAAGAAAACAAGTTTATTTTTTAGATTTGCACGCTAATCGATTTGGAATTTAATTACATGCTCAACCCAGTATGAAATTCTATATTTAAACAATATGTTTTGGACAAAGTACTAATGTTATGAAGAAAATTAATGTAAGGATTTGTGTCGAAAAATGAAATTCTTTTTTCTGTTCTGTGCAGCTGATAACTTACGCAAGCAATAAGAATTTTAGGATTTTTTTATGCAAGTTTTTATATATTTCTTAAGTAGTTTGCTTAGGACAATATACTGTTGTTATTACGGAAATTAAGGAAAAAAGTTATGATAAAATCTTTTCTCGGCTTATAGGATAAAAAATATATTTTTAAATGTAAAATAAAAACCAAATATAAAGGTATGCTTAGTTTTTAATTTTAATTTCCGCAGGCGAAGCTGCGGGCTACCGACCCTGCTAGTATTTAATATAGCTTCAAAACTTTAAAACCACAGCTTTTCGGGGATTGCGGGCGTTAGAGTGGGCGTGGCTCATCGGCCTGATAAGCTTGAAAGTTAAGGAATCTAATTCCAAAAACCGCAACTCTCTAGCTCCTATAATAGTTTTTATTAAGTTTTAGAAAGTGTATTTAATGATGAGTGTAATAATTTTTGGTCACAGGTGTTTTTATACCCTTGTAGAGGGTATTATAATTTCAGTCAGATGTTTGCAACGCAGTGAAGGAGACGTTTCCGACCACATAAACAGCACCACATTCTTGATCAGTACCAATAGCCAAGTCCATCTAGCCATGTCCGTCTGTCCGTCTGTCCGTTTCTATACGAACTAGTCTCTCAGTTTTAAAGCCATCGCGATGAAACTTTATCGAAAGTCTTCTTTCTATTGCAGGTAGTACATATGTCGGAGCGAGCCGGATCGGACCACTATATCTTAAGGCTCCCATAGGAATATTCAAACAAATATAAGAAAATTCATTGTAACTTTGTAGGAAGTAGGCGTTTTGATTGAAATTTAAATAAATAGAAACGCTGAATCTGGAATTCCTGGAATTGCACCGAGTAAGCATTCTTTAATCTACAAGGGTATAAGGTGTGTTTCAAAATTATACGACACCAACACACTTATTTTTTGAAAATTTGTAGAGTTGTTGTTGTACCACGCGTCCTTGATCCTCTTTTTAGGGACTTACCGCTAATTTTTCGAAATATAGTCTATTTTCGGCTATGTGCGATCGTTTCATAATTATACGACACCATTGATTTTTTCCGGTTCCAATGATCAAACTTAACCGAAAATTTTTTTCTGGTTAAATATAAACTAAAAGGTTCCATTTTGAGCGTAATCCAGCCCAAAGGTCCTTTCAATCTTCACCCAAACATAAATATTGAATATGTCTCTCTACACCTTAAAAAAGTAGTTTTTCGAAGTCATATCCCACAATTCGTCTTAACTTTTGTCTGGTCAATATTCTTAACCCTTTTGAATCAAATAAAAATCCTGTTCAGTTCATTACGTGCACGAAACAGACCTAAAAAATCATTTTTTTATGAACTGCCCTTTTGGAACAAAACTGTTTTATTCCAAAAATATTTGATTTTGGGCGATACTTTCTGTCCAAATGCAAAAATTTGTTCTTCAAAACCTTAATAAACTTTCCACATTTCACGATTGGAACATTTAAAACGCGTTCCCAGTCCGCGTCACTTTGAAGTTTTTCGATATTTTTTTATACGATTTTGAGTGTTTTCTTCATGGTATTTCATTCAGGAGCGTATACTTGGCATCCCGTTTTGTAATGTTCCAGCATTAAATGTGAAAAGTTGATTAAGGTTTTAAAGAACAAATTCCTTCATTTTGAGACGTAGTATCGACCGAAATCAAATATTTTAGGAATAAATAAAATTTTTTCCAAACACGCAGTTTTTAAAAAAATGATTTTTGAGGTCTGTTTCGTAATACACTGAACAGGATTCTTATTTGATTCAAAAGTGTTAAGAATATTGACCAGACAAAAGTTAAGACGAATTGTGGGATATGACTTCGAAAAAAACTTTTTTTAAGGTATAGAAAGAAATATTCAATATTTATGTATGGGCCGAAGATTAGAAGGATCAAAGATCCAGCCCAAAGCTGGTTTACTCTCAAAATCAAATCTTTTAGTTTATATTTAACCAGAAAAAAAATTTCGGGTAAGTTTGATCATTGGAATCGGAAAAAATCAATGGTGTCGTATAATCACTATGGACGGCAGTCCATGTAGTGACGAAGCGCACCAGGAGAGTGTGCGAAGGCGACTACTATATATACACGAAGAAATGAAAATCTACTGTGATGGTCCGATCATAATGAATGATACACCTATCGAAAGGTATTGCAAAAACTAACAGGATTGCATACCAAGACTCTAAGAAAATCAATTTGCTTGGGAGAGAGAGCGGTGAAAGTGAAAAAGTGAAAATTTCGAAATTTGGAGCTGTTGGGGCCGGTGGGGATAATTGCCCCCTCGCAATATTTTACTTGTATTCCTTTTGAAAATACCCGTCGAATGAGGGGTCGTTTGTCAAAATCCGACGCTCCGTTCAAAAGTTATAGCCAAAATAAGATTTTCTTCGTCTTCCCAAAATGAAAATTTAATTCTGTTTGTCAGTTTGTCAGTTTGTCCAAAACATGTTTTTTAAGTTTTGAAAATTTTATATGACGTTCATCACATCGATATAAAAAACTTTTGTTCTACCACTTTTGGAAAAACTCGCTAGTTTAGCGGGAAAACAGCTATAAATAGCTAAAAATCGGAAAGCCGTAACTTCTATACTACTAAAGCTACAGAC